ACAAAAGAAATGATGAATTAAACCCTCATTTGATCCTCATTATTTTTAAAATACATTTTTCCCTTCTTATTTTCAATTACACATTGTTATAATAAAATATAATATTACATGTAAACTCAAAATTTTTTCTTATTTTTTAATTACACATTCTTTATCAAATCACTATTCTAAAATATATTTTTAGAAAAAAAATGGAGCTCAAACATGCTTTAAGTAATAATGTGTGAAAAAAAAAAGAATCGTTCCAAAATGCATTTTTGAAGGGAAAAAAAATATGGAGTCCAAACATGCTCTAAATAATAATGTGTAAAGAAAAAGATTTGTAAAAGACATATGTTGCTGCCCAGGATCGAACTGGGGACCTTTAGTGTGTAAGACTAACGTGATAACCACTACACCACAGCAACTTCTTAATGTTCAGTTAAATTTTAATTTATATATTATATATTCTTGTTAGAATGGTTTGTCGTAAACTTCGGAGAAGACATGAATGACTACGCAATTATTCGGTTTGAAATTCCCAGAATTATTGATCTTTTTGTCGTCCTACCTTCCGACAGAAACGAACCCCAACTCTGATTTCTGATGTCAGGGGTTTTGCGCTAATAATAATTTTTGATCATTTACTCGATCGATCGAATTTTTATTGGTGCAATCCAAGATCAAAAATCGGCAAAATGGCTCGGATGGCTCGTATCTGTGTTCAGTCACTGCTGAAGGTGGTGAATTCCGGGATCGGTATTGTCGGCATTGCCATGATTGTATACGCCCTTTGGATGCTTAGGGTTTGGCAACGCCACCTCGGCCCTGACTCCGCCTCCAATGCCCCAATTCCTTGGTATGAATTATGAATTTGTACCCACCCATGAAAGTGAATTGCTTTATGTTTGTTTACAGGTTTATGGTGGGACAGTGATCATAAAAGAAAAAAAATCACGTGAAAGTTAATTGCTTTATTTTTTATATGCATTTGGTGGTACAATGATCGTAAACGAAAAAGTTGTTCCTTTTGCTTTTCTTTGTGGTGGTTTATATGTTATTTAATACAATTTGAAATTGGGTTGCAGGTTCATATACACTATAATTGGACTTGGGGCTAGTTTATGTGTGATCACATGCTTGGGTCACATTGCAGCCGAGACTGCGAATGGTTGTTGTCTGTTCATAGTATCCTTACGATCTGCTTGAAGATTAATTTTCATATGTTTTCCATTAACATGTGGAGTATGACGATAGACATATCGGTAACATCTTTTCTATTTTATGTGAATTATAAGAATGCTAGTATGTGTTTTATTCTTTTCCTAGATTTAGTCTCCTTTTTATATATGGATGGGTTTTGGTGCTGCTGCTTTTGCTACCAAATGCTCATGTATTCATTAAGTTGTGTAATGTTTACTGCAAAATTGTTTGCACAGAATCTTTCAGGCTGCCTGACATAGTACGCAGTATTAAACAATCACTAATACTGTATAAGCAGGGGAAAGATAAGAACTGGAGAAGAAGAATAAAGAGGGTTAATGCTATTTTTTAATTACAACATTATTATTGCATACAAGACAACTTTCTCTCTCTAACCCCCCCCCCCCCCCCCCCCCCCCC